GTTGTAAGTCCCGCATTACCACATAAGAGTAATAACGTAGTATATACTTTCATATGCACATTGAAGTAATATATTATACTTACTGACGTACGTACGTAGTACATAATAGCTCAATGTTGCTTTTTATTAAAATTTTAAATTTTTAATAAAAAGCTGTTATTTTGACGTTACAAATAGGCACTTAAATTCATTGAAGTAATATGTACTTACGTACTAGAACAGCTATCTCAAACAAAAAATGTGTGCTACTCTGTGTTCGCGCGGTTCGTTTATTTATCATAGAATAAACATAGGTAGAATGACCCGTAGGTAATAGTAGATTATATTGTTAAATAGGTAAATTATATCGAGATCAATATTTAAAATTTGTCATTTATTTTCTATATTATATTTGCTTATTTAATATAATATTACAAAATATTATATCACAATTACATTTTAATGATATTTTTCTGAATATTTTAAAAGGTATGTATGTCTAATATAAAAAAACATACTAAATGTATGTTTAAAAACTTATTAAAACAACATTTAAATTACAAATATATTTATTTAAATTAAAATAAGAGTCGTTCATAAATGCTGGGCACGCGAGAGTTAAAAATGGACGAATTTATGCCAAGCACTTTGACTTTGATGTGGAAACCTAAAAATAAAATAAAAGAATAATAAGCAGATTTAAACATGAAAAATTTAGTCTAATTATAATAACTTATATATGTTTCTACAAAAAAATGTGTATAATAATATATTCGTATTATACTTAAGTACCCACAGAAATGTCACATCTGAACATATTAATTTCATAATCTATATTTCATGACACGAGATGGCGTCTTAGGAATAATTTGTTTTATTATTAATCTATAATACTTTTTATTGATTAAGTATCTTATTAACTGATGAAAAGTAATTCCTTGGTTTTTAGTGACATTTCTTGAATTATTTGTGCAATATCTAAGTACACACGACGGCATATTTTTATCAAGAGATTTTTTTAAATAAACACACTTGACAACTCTACAGCGCCTAGCGAGTGACTGATTAAAGTGCGGTGTATGCACCGCAGTTGAGTGGAACATAGTAGCTGAATGCAGTGTCGCCTCTAGTACGTAGTACGTAATAACTCAATGCTTAAATTTTAGTTATTTGTATAGATGTAATAAAGATTGTAAAAGCAGTAGTGACAAAGGACTGGCAGTTAAAATTACTATTGTAATTAGTTTATTTTCATGGTGATTCCTTTGACAATAGGTACATCCTTTCTATAAAACACATATACGTATGCTCGTTTGCCCCTCTTCTATAAAAAAATTAGATGTTTAAATTTACGCCTTAACAGTATTTTATAACATTAAATCATAAACGTTCAATTACGTTAAAGATGATAGTTAATAGCCTTCGTTCGCGTGACTTTGAAAAATTATATTTCGAAAAATCACAGCCCACGTTCACCGTCCGCGACTTCGCTCGATGGTATTGGAAATGGATTAATTATTTCTACATGATTGTAAATTTTGTATATATTTACTCCTTACATTTCAAACAGCCGAGTTCAATTGACGGATTCCACTCGGCTGGGCGGGGTCTGGGAGATTACGATACATCTTCTCGTCAGCTATCTATAGATACTTCAAGACTTGAAAGCAAGATTATACAACCAGAGCGTGTTACCAGTGATGACATATGGATTTGAGACGTGGTCCTTCATTACTGGCCGTATGAGAAAACTCGGAGTCGCTGAATCAACTATGGAGAGAGCTATGCTCAGATTTACTCTGCCTGATAGACCTAGAAATCAGGATATCCGTAGTAAAGCTAGAGTAATCGACATAGCCCAACAAATTAATAAGCTAAAGTGGCTATTGACCGATCATATAGCTCAAAGAACTGTCAACTAATGGGAAAGAAAGGTTCTCAAGTGGTAACCTCGTACCGGTAAGCAAAGTGTTCTTAAGGTGGCTCCCTCACTACATGAAGTGACGACCTGGTAAGGTATGCACGAACTGTATGGGTGCATTATAAATGATCGCTGTCCAGTAAATAAAGCTTTTCTTTAAAATAGCAGACAAATGCCGCGAGTTGGGGATGGACGTAAGTGGACGGGTACAAATCATTTATACCCAAATCACTACTTTATTAGCGCTGGTGTCTTTTTGAAGATTTCGTCCTCTTTCTCTAATAAAATAAAAAAAAACTATATTAGCGCTAACTCTTTTCTTACTTATAAGCCAGTTCCACACTACTATTCCGCCGAATGATGTTCCTGACAACACTGAAGGAAGTGGGATGGCATATTCCCTTGCTCTGCCATCGAATAGCAAGTATGTACCTACGTTTCGTGGGTATTGGTATGCACCAATACAACTAGTATTACACACGCAAATTTAGTTTTTAACTATTTATTTTGGCGACAACTAAGTTTAAATTGTCTTTTATAAAACTGAGAGAGAGTATAAATACCGAAGTCGATAAAACGCATTCATATTTAGCCTATTTACTACTAAGTCTACACACAAAGTACTTTTTAGTGGCAAGTGCAATGCAAGCACACACTCCACAAGATCGCGTACGTGTTTTGATTTAGAAAGAGTTTGTTGACCTTATTGAAATTGTCGTTTTTTATCATATCGGTTTAATTATGGAAGTAAAATATGAGTGTTCTCACGAGACCACTATGTACTGTTTAGAACTGTACAAAAATGAGCCGGTGCAAGCATTTGGAATTTAAAACACCTGGCAAAGCATCCGCCATCTTTTCTCCCAACGTTTACGAATTTCTTTTGGACAATAGGTATGTACATAGCTCTAATGGACAACGATTTCTTGCCAATGAACCCCGTCTTCGAAGTTTCAGGGACATTTGAGCGAGCCGAGTTAGAGGCCTGTTTCGTTCGAGCACCTCGTACGAAGGTGAAGTGCTACTGCTATCTACCATTATTAAGTCAGTATTTCAGTATTTAAATGGTTAAGGATTTGTGCACTTTTTTTTTAAATATTTTTAATTTAAGACTGGATTCATTTATTTAATAAATCCTATCAAAAGTCCACTGCTGAACATAAGCCTCCCTATAGGTTGACTCACTGATGGGTTATTCAACACGTTAGGTATGGAGTGTAGAGGTAAGGAGTACAGACTCTGTATAGAAAAGTGTCCGTAGGAAAGCGCTAAATAAGGGTGGCGCCACTGTAGCTACAGTTTAAGTTTTAAAGAAGCTTTAATAATTTCTTTTTATTGCACAGACTTTCACCACAATTCTTTTTACAATAGTTATTTTCTTGCTTTCAAAGTTTTTATTTTCAAAATCACCCAACGTATTTTTCGGCGATTTATCGTACCCTGTAGCTACTCGAGCGCTGTTGTGGAGAATTTTTGAAGTGTAATTTACTGCTTACAGATGGACACATTTTCAACTATTCTCCTGTGGGAGATTGTCCTCCTTACCTCTATACTCCATGACGTTAGGTAAACGGGGTGGCATCCGCAGTTATTATTATTTTTAGAGCGGCTCTACAACTAGACTAGACTAACTGGTTATACAAATTAAACACTTAAAATGTTTCATTTGATGTTGTTAATGTTTTACGTGGTAGAACCACGCTGCAGCTATATTATAGTTGCAGCACGAATGGGTCGGTTCGACCGGAGCAGGACCACACTCTCACAGAATACCAGCGTAAAATAGCAGCTTAATGCTGCTATGTTTCGTATGGTGAGTATAGAGAACCGGAGACCCTTTTTACTGGAAACGAGGCATTCTATCTCAATCCTCAGGGGTTATAACGCATTTGCGTTTTGATCCTTAATTGAGGTTAAATGTGAATGTCTATAGGCCACAGCATCCTTTTACTATCAGGTGGACTGTGTGCTCGTTTGTCACCCAATGCTATAAAAAAAACATGCCAGCACACAGAATACTAAAAATACACCTTAAATATGCTAGCCACCTCAATTGTAGCATGTTTACAAAACTAATAAAGGAATCTCTTATGACTATGACAGAGTAATAAAATGTTTCGAGGATGTTTCGAGGACATGTGAAGTCCGTCGGCATATACTGGAGCAGGTAGGTCACTATTTAAGAAATGAGAGATCTTTACGGCTGTGGCATGCATAAATTAATGTAGGCTACGTCTAAAACAAAGTAAATATATTATTTAAAACTGAAAAGGCTTTTAAGGCTTAGCAAACAGTTACGGCGGTAAGTGCCGCGGGTTCGAATACCGTATGGAACAAACATTTGAATGGTCAACAAGTAATAGTCGCCACACACGGAAGTTTAACTGATCATTCCTACTGACCAGTTCAAACTATAACCGTTGATATTTTTTAAATATCGGATTTTCGATATATCCATAAATAAACTTATATGTAATACTCCGATATAATTATATTTATAATGATCGATATATCGAAAATCCACTATTTAAAAAAATATTAACAGTTTTAGTTTGAACTGATCAGTTGGAATGATCAGTTGAACTGATCGTGTGTGGCGTCCATAACTGTTCCGGACCTGGATGTTTGTCCTTGAACAATTTATGTATGTAAATTGCCTTCACGATACAGGCGGAAATCCTAGTGTAGGGGCACGTTTTAAAAATAAAAAATAAATAAAATGTATATATTTTATTAAAAATTTTCAGGAGTAAGTATCTCAAATGCAGATTTTATTCTAAAAATAAGACATCAAGAATTTTGTAATTTTAGATAAACTATCAGTTTATCTAAAACATATCTATAAAGAAGAGGTTAACGCAGATAAGCGGTATGTTCACGTCCATACACCGACTTTTCATATATTTTCATTCGTAAGACACGACTGTGTTCCGTCCATCAGCCCTAGCTTTCTCTTCCCGATCTTGTCCTATAAACCTTCTGTGTGCCTTGCGCGTAAATCTATCTTTATATACAGATGATTAAACTAAATATAAGGAGTTCAATATGCGAAATTATATTTATCTGCATTATTATAATAATATGAAATTTGAATGTAATATTAAGAACAGGAGAAACATTTCTTATGGTAAAAGAATGGGTGATGAGAAATGGGTTTATGTATATGTATATTAGGAATATATGGTGGTATAAATGTTTCATGTGACTTGAATGCAACATGATCAAAAGATTGTAAATTATCTGCAACGTATCCAATTAAAGGATTTCCATAGTTTTCCGATATTGGATGAAATTTTGAAAACGTATCTGTTGGAACGTGAGAGCGACTAAACTCCGGCTCCAAGGGATTTAGAGTTGTGGTTGTGGTTGTTGGATTATAGGCATATGGATATGCATTGGCAAAAGGATTAGAATTGAACTCTTCCAAAGGCTTGAATTCAGATGACGTGAAAGCATCATACGATTTTTGAGTTGGATTTTGCTGGTTAAAATTTGTTAATGCAGTCGCAGTATGTCTTAAATATCCATTCAAAGGTTTTAATTTTTGACTTTTAACTCTGGTTAGTTCTGATAGTAAGGCATTCGGATTTGGTAACGGTACCGAAGTTGTACTTAAAATTGGTCCAGGACGACTTAAAGTAGCAACAGCGAAAGGACTGGCGAATTCACCGAAATGACTTCTCTGGCTACCTAAAACAATATGTATTTTATATAATTTATTATAAAAGACTTAAAATGTCATTAATTTATCGATTAAATTTAAACAAAAATGGTTTTTGAGTTTTATATTAAGAAATATCTTGAAAAATATAACCTTGAATTATTTTTAAATGATAATAAATATCAGCATGATTACTTTTTAATATCCATGTAAACCTTTTTAAGGATGTAATAAATTTTCTTAAAGTTATGTTAAATATTTTCACGGTTTTGTGATTTCATATTAATACGTTTAATCGCACCATATACCCACGTTTAAACGGGGGTATATGGAGGGATTAAATTAATGTAGTTTGGATTAAAAATGAAATAATGAATTACTACCAAAAGGTCTAGCAGTGTTGATTACTCCTAAGCCTGAATTTACAGCCGTTCCAGGATCTTTCATATTTTCCTGTGAATTTCCTGCTATTCTAGCTTTATTGTCTAAAAGTGCTTCTTGTGTGTCATATGTCATAGAGCGTCTGGTATCAGGTAATACATCTGTTCTATCTTCGCTGCTTTTTTCATTAGTGACTTTCATTTCAATATTAAGGTTTTTACTGCTTGGTTCATCGTCACTTTTAGTGTTTTCATCTATAATGTCAGGAATTAAATATTTATCGGTTACGGGACTATCAGCATTAAGTTCTTCATCATCCATTTTAGTTATAGATCTTTCATTACTTATCTCGTCGTTATTTTTGTCATTAATTAAGCTCGACTTGTCCTCATTTGTCGACACTTTATTAGATCTTCGATTTTCATCGCTCGGTAACGCTGTTAAACGATCAGTTATTGTAGAATCATTTTCTTCAGCTGTTTTGAATTCACCACTATTTACACTTTGCGTTGAAATTTCAAAAGATTGTTGTACACTTTTCGCTTCATTTATGTTAAGGATCTCATCTTGAGTTTTTTCTTCTAGTGGCAGTACATGCTCTTCTTCATTTCCTAAGCGGCTTGTGCTATCAGTTTTCTCGCCAACACTTTCATCGTGATTTGATTCCTGCAATTTTATATATTTTGTTAATTTTTAAAACAGAAACATATTTACATAAATAAAAGATTACTCACTGAGATAATTAGTGTTAGATGATTAACTACTAAAAGCAATCTAAATAATAAAGGCAACGTTTTCATAATTTAATGTTAACTTCAATCTTTTGTCTATAAATTTATATCAGTGCTCACAACATAACGTATGTGTGAGAACTAAGTAAGCTTACCTTGCCTTACTTTAATAATGAGATGCTTTATTCTTTTAGAGCGTAGAATCAATTTGAAGCACTAAATCTTCAACGGCACGCGTGTACAATTTTTAATGCTTTTTAGCTATTTACATTTTATAGCTGATTATTTTTTATGGTATTTATTTCGCCTCAAATGTAGTCATATGCGATTATGCTTACGTTATATGTATGCTTACGTTGGAAGAAGATGAATTTAAATCACCTTCTATCCATATATTTGTTACAGTACTTTGCTTGTGCTTCAATGTCATAGCGGCAGCACTGCTACATTATGCTATTCCACAGCTCTTCACGATACTCTTTGCATTATTTATTAAGCAGTTAGTATAAATTATTTATAAATAAAAATATGGCTTTAACCTAAAAATACTGGCATGTTTAGTTTAAGGACGGGGACTAAAGCATTAAAAATAGAACGGACAAGACGAAAGTCATCTAAAGTTAATTCTGTCAATGTACATAGTTTTGAGTAGTAATTGTATTTTTTCATACAAGAATTTTGTGACATATTACGTACAAAGATTTTTATAATGGTTTATTTTAAGCTATAGAATGGTATGTAATTTTCAAATGATTCATCTATGTTTTTGATTTGTTGTAATTATAAAAGATTATAAATAGCAATGTGTGCACTGCTGTATTTCACTCTGAAGAGCATATAGAGCCCGTATAATTACAGGCTGTAAAGTATTCCTTCTCAGTTTTTTAGTCCTCAGAGGTGAAAACGAATCTAAAGACTTCTTTATTTGAGCTTTGTTGCAGGTGTTCTTGGGTAGAGCAGCTCCTTAATATCAGGTGGACTTTAAGTTTTTTATGGGATAAGGGTGATAAACGAACATACAGTCCATCTGATGGTAAGTGGATGCTGTGGCCCATAGACATCTACATTTATCCACAATTAAGAATCAAAATGTAGATTTTTTTATAGGAGAGGGGGCAAACGAACATACGGCTCACCTGATGGTAAGTGATTACCGTCGCCCATGAACAACTGCATCACCAGAGGAATTGCAGATGCATTGCCGACCTTTTAAAAATGAATAGGCTCTTTTCTTGAAGGTCCCTAAGTCGTATCGGTCCGGAAAAAATCTATCGTGGTAGTTGATTCCACAAGGAAGTTGTGCGAGGAAAAAAACTTCTTTTAAATCGCACAGTGGTGGACCGCCAGTCATCCAGATGGTACGGATGGTATCGCGAGTTTTGTCGCGATGTGCGATTGTGAAATTGTGAAAAACAATTCCGCAGAGCACTCCCCGTGGTAGATGCGATAAAATACGCAAAGAGATACAACATCTCCTCGCAGTGCCAGAGAGTCAAGCCGATCGGAAAGAGCTCGGTCGCCGACGATTCGAACTGCTCTGCGCTGGATGCGATCAAATGGAAGGAGCTGGCACTGGGGAGCCCCAGCCCAGAGATGGGAACAGTATTCCATGTGCGGCCGAACCTGCGCCTTGTAAAGTTGCAAGCGGTGTGCCGCCATGAAATACTGTCCCGCTCTGCTGAGCACACCAATCTTTTTAGAGGCCAATTTGGCCTTCTCTTCCAAGTGACCCACGAAACTACACGTCACTCGATATGTCGACGCCGAGGATTCCGATACTCGCTGAGGCAACAAGGGAAGTGCCTTGAAACTGAGGAGATACGACAAAAGGGTTATTTTTAGCGGTAAACACGCAAACTTGTGGCTTTTGGGGATTAAACTGGACTAGATTTAGTCGCCCCCAGTCCGAGATTTTGTTCAACAAAGTCTCGACTTCAGACACAAGTTTGTCCCGGTACTCGGCGACGTTTTCCCGAGAAATATTGGCACGGCCGGCGTATAAAGCATCACCGGTGCTGTCGTCTATGAATGTTACCGGTTTGCAACATGTCAGATGCGTTATCACCCCTGAGAAATAAGATGGAATGTCACGTTTTCAGTAAAAAAGGTCTTCGGTTCTCTACACTCACCATACGAAACACAGCAGCATTAAGCTGCTATTTTACGCTGGTATTTTATGAGAGTTTGATACTAAACTAGTTCTTTTTTCACATATAAAAGGGAAATAATTTGGCATTTAAGCGACCTTAATTGTACTACACACATGTCCACCGGTATTTGCTTGTTAATAATAGGCTAAAAATGTGGACGGATTATTCAAATAATGTATGATAGCAAGAGCTTTATTTGAATGGCCTATTTGCTGTAGCCGTACCGGTACTACTTGTCTGTTAGTTGCGAAAAATAAGTAAAGTAAAGGGCACGTATACATTTTTCTAAAGAAAATCTCATCTTTACGCACCTGCACTATGTATGTATGTATGTAAATTAGTTACTATAAACTAAATGAACAACACAACACAAGGAACGAACACAACCAGAAGGAACACAAGGAACAACGCAAGAGCCTGAAGGACAAAAGTTTAGGCTTGTAGCACAAACAGAAGCAGAAGAACAGGCCTACAACTATGTGCAGTACAGGAACACGCCGAAACCATCTGGGTAAATTAATTTAGACTCTATTTTAAAAAAGTGTATAAAATTATAGACATTTATTTTTACAGCATTTTTACAGCACATGATATTCAATTTTATGTTCTGATAATAAGATAATCTGATAAAAAGGGTAGCACTTCATAATGTGAAAATTAATGAGCTAAAGTCTGTATGAAAATTTTTCACGCGAATCTCAGTGAATTAATTTTCACGTAATGGATTTACGCAAAGTAAACACCTGATTTTTTTAATTAACAAAATCTTACCTATTTCTGATTCGAAGTATCAGTGAAATCATTACTAAACTTCCGATCTCGAGGGTTAAAGAGACAATATTGACGGCTCCATGGCGCAGTGGCTTAGCAATCGAGTGGCAGCGCTAAGGGCCGCGGGTTCGAATCTCGCACGGAACAAGTATTTGTATGGCCTACAAATATTTTTTCCGGATCTCGATGTTTGTTCTTGTGCAATTTATGTTTGTAAACTGCCCACGCGATAAAGAGGAAAATCCTAGTGTGGAGGTTGCTTTTTAAAAAATATAAAAGTATAATCTCAGTCCTTATACAGTCCTCATCTATTTCGATGACGGCGACCCTAAAAGTTATGATATTTTCCTATCACCAGCCCTGATGTGGCATCCAGATGGTATCGCGAGTTTTGTCGCATACCATCGATGTGCGATGGTGAAATTGTGCGGCTGGAATTGATCTGAACAATTTCTTAGAGCACTTCCCGTGGTAGATGTGATAAAATACGCAAAGAGATGCATCATCTCTTCGCAGTGCCAGTGAGTCAAGCCGATCGGGAAGAGCTCGGTAGCCGACGATTCGACCAGCTCATGCGCTGGATGCGATCAAATGGAAGGAGCTGGCACTGGGGAGCCCCAGCCCAGAGATGGGAACAGTATTCCATGTGCGGCCGAACCTGCGCCTTGTAAAGTTGCAGGCGGTGATCCGGCAAGAAATACAGTCTCGCTCTGCGGAGCACGCCAAGTTTTTTAGAGGCTAATTTGGCCTTCTCTTTCAAGTAACCACGAAATTGGACGTCACTCGATATGTCGACGCCGAGGATTCCGATACTGGCTGAGGCAACAAGGGGAGTGCCTTGAAACTGAGAAGATACGACGAAGGGGTTCTGCATGTGTTATTATGTATATTCTATTAAGTCTGTCCGTCCGTGCTAATCTTACTAACTGAACCGGTTGCGATAAAACTTTACGAACAGATAGAGAGTAATGCCAGGAGGGATGTAAAAATAAACGACAAATTGGTATAAAGTAAATGGTCTGTGATTGTAATAAATATAAATAACGCCACATTAATAGATGCTATCTAGGCAAACTGAAGTAGCAATGGGCCGGCCATACAGCTCGAAGCTCTCAAGCCCTCAAGCAGCTCGGTTCTCGAGTGGCAGCCTCGTACTAGTAGGCTATGGATGCAGGGGGTCAGGATCGTGCTTTGTGGCATTCCTTGGTGGAGGCCTATGTTCAGTAGTGTATTTGTGAAGGGCTGTAATGATGATGATGATGATGATGATGATGATGCAAGCAAAGCCGTCGCGAGTTGCTTGTCGTAAAGCTATAAAGTTATTTATGTAAATTTATATTAAAAAAAAAAACAGAAATGACAATGTATTGCATCTACTCAGTTTGATTAACCGTAAAATGATATGAAAAAATTAACACTGTTTACAGATTGGTAGGATCGGTGGCTCATATAGTGAAAGGAGCTTTGGGAGCAGGAATCCTCAGCGGACATGTGGCGTATAAAAAAGCTGGCGTTTTTGTTGCCATACCGATGAATATATGCTTCGGAATCTACATGGGTTATTGTCTTTATGTGAGTGTAGTATTTGAGAAACTTGTTAATATTTTACTACTCGTTGTGAGACAACGATTTGCCGAAAAAATCACCCTTATCTCTTCGGCTTGTACGCTTCATCTCTCTGCGTAAACCCGGTTTGCCCTAGATCATAACTTGCTATTAATGTCCTCCGATCTGGAGGACATTAAGTCCTCCAGATCGAATTTCGTTCACGGCAGCAAAACTCAACGGAGCATAGTATTATAGTGCACAAGTGTGTGACTACAGGTGTACTGTTTATTTTCTCACTCATAATCCCATGTTAAGGCAACCTGACACGATCGGAGAGAGATTAGGCGCAGTACCAACGGCTTTACGTGTTTTTCAAAGGCACAGGGGTAATATACCGCCAGCTTACTGGCTCCGGGCTGTTTCGTATAATTTTTTGTCAGATAAACCCAATAACCCACTAACGACCTCTAGAAAAACGAGGAATCAATATTTTTTTAAACTTCTAATATTATAAAGTCGCGACTGTTTAAAAATGAATGAAATCAATAGAAGTTAAAGTTTTGTCTTATTAAATAGCTTAAAACCGTTTCAAATCAGATTTCGCTGATTGATCATTCTTGGCCAAAAAACATATTTATCTTTTTTTTATAGCCAAATAGCTGTATCCGGCAGTCGTTGCAATACCTCTTTTTTTGTCAAAAGCCTATATATACCGGGTGCTTCAAAAAAATGTATACACACTTTGAACTTCCATAGAAAATTTATTTACCGTTCTAGAAAGTTAAATTTCAGGAAAATAGAAAGCTGAAAGTCGAATGTAAATGAAACATAAATAACAAATGTTAATACTGTTCAAATTGGTGACTTGCAGCATCAATACAATTCTGAGTACGAGTCACCACAGATTCTGTACATCGTATCAAAACGTCCAATGAGATTTCTCTACACACTGCTTGAATCTCATTCCAAAGAATGTCTAGGTTACGTGGTTTACGTTTGTACACCTCATCTTTTACTGTGCCCCACAAGAAGAAATCCAGTGGTGTAAGGTCTGGAGAGCGTGCTGGAAACTCGATTGGCCCCCTGCGTCCTATCCACTGGCCCGACAAATTTTGATCCAGGTAAGCTCGTACGTCCCTGTGATAGTGCGGCGGAGCACCATCTTGTTGAAAATAAAAATCATCATTACCGTATAATGCAAGAATGGCAGGAAATATGGAATCAGCAAGCATTGTTAGGTAATTAATACCAGTTACAGTGCCGTTGATGACTCATCACTTGTAGCTGTTCGAGGCCGGCCTGAATGACCTTTATGCACATCACACACTGTTCCATAAACTTCGAATTTGTCTCGTATGCGTGTAATTGTTAATCTTGAAGGTGGTTCTGTATCATACTCCCTTCTCCACTGTCTTTGAACTTCATTTACATTCTCAAACTTCCAGTACCGCTTAATAACCTGCTTACGTTCTTCAAAACTCAAACGTACGTCCCCCATGTTGATATTACAAATTCCAACTGATAATATAACATAGAGGGACTATTATGCTGGCACCTGGCGAAGAAATATAACATTAGCCTTGTAGAGCGGAAAAACTACAATAGTTTAAAGTGTGTATACATTTTTTTGAAGCACTCGGTATATATATATATATATATATCATATAATATATAAATATATTAAAATATATATATTAAGATATTTATTATTATATAAAATTAAATATATATATATATATATATATATATATATATATATATATATATGTAGCACGACCAGCGATGGGGTGATGACCTGGTTCCATCGGATGGCAAGTGGATGCTGTGGACCATAGACATCTACATTTTTCCTCGATTAAGAATCAAAACGCAGATACGTTGTCACCCCTGGGGACTTAGATAGAATGCCTTGTTTCCAGTATAAAAGGGTCTCCGGATCTCTACACTCACCATACGCAACACAGCAGTATTATGCTGCTATTTTACGCTGGTATTCTGTGAGAGAGTGGTTCTTCCGCGGTCGACGAATGGGTGGGCCATTCGTGCTACAACCATAATATAGCTGCAGCGTGGCTCTACCACGTATATGTATATTCATTACCCTATATCGTCATGTGAGTTTCTAGTCTAAAACAGGTGAAGGGCAGCAGCATCTTCCTGATAACAACCATAAACCAAGGGGCCTAAATCAGCAGTGGACGTTTACAGGCTGTAATGGATAGATGCATGGGTTTTTATACTATTTAATACTTCTATAAATCACAACTAAACATTGAAACATGATTTATGGTATTTATAATATTATAATTTAACCTCATTTAGAGTATTATATTACTTACGTCGAGTTTACTTTTAGTTACTGGTGAAGTCAGCTCAAGTTTTGTATCGGAGAACCCGGGTACCAACGATGACATATCCAGATGTGGGTGAAGCAGCTTGTGCGTGTCATTCTAACCCAAAGATCGTGAAATTCGCCAAACACTTCAGGTGATTTATTATGATTTTTAATATGGTGTATGAGATTTAATTCTTTTTTTCATCATTAGCCCGAAAAAGTATACAGCTGAACATGGGTCTCTATCATAGAATACTATAATACACAATAGAATGGCTGTCAACCTTATTTTGTACCGAGGTTCGGCGTCGCCAGGAGCACACATACAAGCAATTACGTCGTATTATCAGTTAATCACTACTACAAACCCGATTCACTGTGTTGACAGACGGATTTTAATACATATTTATTTGTAAATAGCGTGCAATTTGGCATTTTCTAAATAATTTGCATGCGAAATTTGGAAATGATCGTAACGTCAAAAGATCTCGTGTTGACATTTGTACGTGTGTATTGACGTCTTGTGATATTTTAGTGGCTACATGGGCCGCCCACACCCCGTTCTATTATATATGTATTATAGTATTCTATGGTCTCTACTATGTAGGTGAATTTGCTATAACTGCCACACATTGCGAATAAACAAATTGTAAAGCGTTAATTTATTATTTTAAAAGTTGTCGGTAGCCTTCGTCAACTATGACATCAGGAAGTCAAACACCTGCCTATCCCTTGGCCAAGGGTAAAGTGCCCGAAGCATAGGAAATTAGGAAGTTAGAATTAAACGCGATAAAATCTCATTTAATGTGTAGTATTCGAGTAAATTAAGCAACCATTAAAGTGATGGAATTTCGTACGTCGACATCATATGAGAAATAAATACATGGATTTATCGATATGTGGACAGCAAAGAAGTGGAATGATCTGCCAGCATCTGTCTTTCCTTTTTGTTTTGCGCCGAAACAAATAAGGGCAACCCTCTGGTAACGGTGGAGGGAGGTGGTGAATGCTCATAGCATACCACACAGCCGGGTGTGTGGTTATGTGGAGACTCTTACCCACTAAACACCACCTTTTGGGGATTGGCTTAACGATCTCACGAGAGATCTTTAAGCAGTAAACGGACGCGACCCTCCTTGGCAGAAAGGAGGGCGCAGCGGCGAATAGCCGCTTAGAAGTGTGCGTAACTAAAGCAAATTATGAGATGTGTTAAGTAGGCATCTCTCTTTCCATCTGATTACAATGTGGGTATCTTCAAGTCAATAGCGAATACTAAATAGGCTTCTGTTTAAATAAGTTAGTGCGCTTTATAATCTTTGACTGCATGACCACTTACCAGTAGTTAGATAGTTAGTAGTAAAGCAGTGGCTTCTAATGGTTGGTAATGAGATTTTTGAGGTTATAATATTACTCCAAGTTCCTAATAAAGTAATTACAAACAAAAAACACTACGCGTGCGTTGCCAACTCTGAAGAACAAAACCTGCTTTACTATAGAGCTATTTACAGAATTAAAGGTAGATA